GCTCCAGGTAGAGCTGTTGTTCAGCATCTTAGCTGTAGAGGGCAGTGTCACTGGCCCTCATATGTGGGATCTGAACCGGGGCCCTCTGGTGTCCCAGGCTAGCTCTTAGCCAACGCGCCACTCGGCCGGCCCCCCAGCTAGTATTTTGATAGGGATTGTATTGAATCAATAGATCAATTTGGAGAGAATCTCCATATGTTATATTGGGTCTTCCAATCAATAGACATGAAATGTCTTTCCATTTATTTAGATTTCCTTTCATTTCTCTCAGCAATATTTTGTAGTTTTTAGTGTACAAGCTTGCACTTCTTTTGTTAAATTTATTCCTAAATTGTTTGTTCTTTTTGATTGCTACTGTTATTGGAATTGTAATCTAAATGTCTTTTTTAATTGCTCATTACTAGTACCTAAATATACAATTGAGTTTTGTATGTTGATATTACATCCTGCAACCTTGCTACACTTATTAGTTCTAACAGTATTTTTATGGATTTCTTAGAGTTTCCTTCATAGAAGATCATGTCCTCTGTGAATAAAGACAGTTTTACTTCTTCTTTTCCAATATGGGTGCCTTTTATTTCTTTTTCTTGTTTGGTTGCACCAACTAGACCCTCCAGTACAATGCTGAATAGAAAAGGTGAGAGCAGACAGACATCCTTGCCTTACTCCTGATCTTAGAGAAGCATTCAGTCGTTCACCATTAAGTCTGATGTTAACTGTGGGTTTATCATAGATGCTCTATATCAGGTTAAGAAAGTTCCCTTTTATTCCTGATTTGTAAAGATTGAATTTTTACCACGAATGGGTGTTGGATTTGTGTCAGATATTTTTTCTGCATCTAATTGTCCTTTATGCTATTAACATGGTACATTGCATTTTCAGATCCTAAACCAACCTTGCATTTGAGAGGTAAATCCCAGTTGGTCATGGAGTTTAGTCCTTTTTATATATTGCTGGATTTAGTTTGCTAATATCTGGAATTTGGTACATCAGACCTAATGGTGAAAGACTGAATGCTTCCCTAAGATCAGGAGTAAGGCAAGGATGACTGTCTGCTCTCACCTCTTCGATTCAGCATTATCCTGAAGGGTCTAGTCAGTGCAACCAAGCAAGAAAAAGAAATAAAAGGCATTCATATTGGAAGATGTTTGTGTCAATATTCATGAGGGATATTCTATAGTTTTCTTTTCTTGTAATGTCTTTGTCTGGTGTTGGTATCAGGGTAATACTGGTCTCACAGAATGAGTTGGCGAGTGTTCCTTCCTCCTTTATTTTCTGAAGAGTTTGTGAAGGATTCGTATTATTTCTTCCTTAAATGTAATATGACTGCTGTTTTTAATATCTTTAATTTTTGTGTCCTTCATTGTTTCTAGCACAGGGTTTTACCCAATAATATTTGGGAATGAATTGTATTATGCAACTACATCCAAGAAATGACTAAAATAGTATTTAAACAGTATCCTGATTTCAACCAAAGGCACATTTAAAATGGAAGAATGCTGAGAAAAATAATCTCACCACTACTTTTAAGTTTAGGAAAACTAGAATAGTTACTTACTAGGTAATAGCTCTCTATCAGCAGTCTCTGTGCAGCTGGGATAAGGGTAAAATAGATGGCCTTTCTCTAATGGGTATGGAATCATTCTAAAAGCTGAGAAAAAAAAATACATATGTTGACATTCAATTCAGACTCATTTTCATCCTATACTACAGACCAAAGCTATTTTTAAAACAAATTTTTACAAAATTTTCACATAGCATTTTCTTTTATATTTTTTTAGAGACACATTTAAATGAAAGAAACTAGGTAAGCAAAAGAATGAATAAAGAAAGAATAAGATTTATTTAGAGAATAGTGACTGGTCGAGCTAGGATAAAACTAAAGGGAGTAGTGGATAAGACTGGCTGGGTCCTTCCTGCCTCAGTCTCCTCATTACAAACACAGCAGACTTTACTCTCCAGGGATGAGTTCCACTTCCTACAGGAATCTTCATAAAATTCCAACAGGTATAACTGTTGTGGCCATAATTGCTGACAACTTAACAGCGTTCTCAATGGCTCCTAACTTCACATGTGAGGTGTCACCAAAGTTTTCCATGAGCAGAACTTAATTTAGATCAAGGGCCACCCTTACGCCTGGGCCAGACCTGGCCTACTATCTGTTTTTGCAAACAAAATTTTATTAGAATACAGTCATGCTTGTTCATTTATATATTATGTAAGGCTGCTTTCATGCTACAAAAGTTGGGTAGTCGTGACAGAGACTATGGCCTGCAAAAACTAAGTACATACCACTTGGCCTTTATAGAAAAAGTTTACCCATCTTTGATCTAGATTATCATCAACTCTCGCACGCGTAGAATTCTCAAAGAAGGAATCCTTCTTTATCTACTCAACTAGGTAAGTACTCATCAAAATTGTGAAAAGGTTTTTGCTTTTCCTTTAGTGCTTGGCTCTATAAACTTTTATCAAAATATGGATTTTGTTCAGAGAACAAACTGATGGTTTCCAGGTGGGAAGGGGGTTGGAGGACTGGATGTAAAAGATAAAGGGATTAAGAAGCACAAATTGGCAGTGAAAAACAGAAAAAATATGTCATGACTTTTCCAACAACCCAGTAGTCATGGGGATGTAAAGTACAGCATAGGATACAGTCAGTAACACTGTAATAACTATGTATAGTGCCAGGTGGGCACTAGATTTATCGGGGGATCACTTCATAAGTTACATAAATGTCTAACCACTATGCTGTATATCGGAAACTAATGTAACATTGAATGTCAACCGTCACTTTTTTTATTTTTTAATCTGAAAAATAAAAAATTTCAAAAAGTATGGATTTTGTTTTGCCACAAAAAGTAGTGAGTTGTCTAAAGTCACAGAGCAAATCAGTGACAACACTAGGAAATTGGGTATCAAGATGATTACTCATGAAATACAGTATAAGTCATATACTTATTGAAAACCTCCTATGTGCTAAGCAGAATGCTTGGCATTGAAGACACATACAAGGTGAATGACATGAAGTACCTGGTTTGGTGGAGCGTGTAGACTACTGGGAAAAAAGCAAAAGGAAGTCTAATAACCCAAAGACATTCAGTTCCTCAGGTTTAGTAGTCCCAGTTTCCTTAACCTGCATATTGTCAGGGTCAAGCACAGTGTCTGACCCTGAGCAAATGGCTAAGACAGGCAGAAGTTCCCAAATTTTCTTGGTTCAAGGACATATGATGCCCTTTCTGTTCCAGTAATTTTTTATGATGCCCCTAGGCCAAAAGAAATCTCTAATAATTCCACTTATTAAGGAGTGGGTCCAAACAACTCTCAAATTTTATCAATTTTTCTAACAATTTAGCAGTGATTTGAAAAAATACACATAAATTAAAGGAAAAAAATGATTATTTAATTTTATATAACCATCATTTATTACTACGGGGATGTATGAGCCTGTGGGACATGGCATAACTTCTCACACCTTGGAAACAGATTGGACACCATCCATCCTCATTTCCTGTTCCACACTGATTTTTGTGCGGTGCTTCTTTTAATCACAGCAACTAACAAAAACCCAGCTTTGCAAACTATGACATGGAAAGAAATGGAGAATGGAGTGTGAAACCATGAACTACCTAGAGTACCGTATTTGCCGGCGTATAAGACGATTTTTTGGCCCTGAAAAATATGCCTCCAAGTGGGGGGTCGTCTTATACGCCAGGTACACTTCAGATAGACTGCCCATAGTGCTTGCCCCGTGCCATAGTGGCCTCCCGATGCCCACCCACTTCATTCCACATACCGTTCAGGCATCAGCAGCGCTGCTGGGTGTATGCTCGGCTGTTATGCGATTTTGCTGTTATGCGATTTTACCACACTCGCAAAATCGCACACAGCCAACCATACACCCAGTATGATAGCGCAAAATCGCGAATCGCGATTTATGTATATGTTTGATTACATACAGCCTTGTGACAGTTTTCCTGCATGTCATAAGCATTTGAATATAAATATAAATGTTGAAATCAAATCTGATATTGTTTTACCTTTTATTTGGTGTGCGGAAGGTGTGCGGAAGAGGGGGTAGTCTTATACGGCGAGTATATAACAAACTCTGTATTTTGAGTGGAAATGTTAGGGGGTCGTCTTATACGCCCAGTCGTCTTATACGCCGGCAAATACAGTAATAGTTTGAATGGTGTCTGACAGATGTTGATATTTCAGTTGCCACTGAAAATTTAAAATATCCAGTGCCACTCTTGTGAATTTGCTGCAATCCCCCCAATGTTCCTCAGTGCAAAGTTTGGGAACTGAGAAGGTTAATCAATCTTAGTGAATGAATGCTGAATTCATTTTTTAATTTTTATTGATAACAGAAGTGTATTTTCCAAGAGAATTATTAAAAGAATTCAACTGATAAAATATTTTGATTAAGCTTCTTCATTTTCTAAGCAATTTTAAGAAGTAACAAATACGATATCTGGTAGTCAGTTGAAAAACAGTCAGTTCTCCAAAGAAGATATATAAATGGCCAATGAGCACATAAAAAGATGTTCAACATCACTAATATTAGGGAAATGCAAATAAATGAAAACCACCATGAGATACTGCTTCACACCCACTGGGATGGCTATTATCAAGAAAACAAAAAATAGCAAGTGTTGGTGAGGATATGAAGAAAGTAAAACACTTGTGCATTGCTAGGGGAATATAAAATGGTACAGCTGCTACAGAAAATAGTATAGCGGTTCCTTCAAAACTTAAACATAGAAGTATATGGTCCAGCAATTCTACTTCTGGGTATACACCCAAAAACTGAAAGCAGGAAATTAAACAGAACAATCCATCATTGACAGAAAACACATGTGGTATAAGCAGATATAATGGAATATTATTCAGTCTTAAAAATGAATGCAATTCTGACACATGCTAATATAAAAGGACAAATATTGTATGCTTCCACTATATGAGAAGCCTAGACTAGTCAAACTCATAGAGACAAAAAAGTAGGATTACCAGAGTCTGGAAAGGAAGGATGGGAACGTCTTGTTTAATGGATATAGAATTTCAGTTTGGGATGATGAAAAAGTGCTGGGTATGGATGATGATGATGGTTGTACAACAATGTGAATGTACATAACTAAGTGTACATTTTAAAATGGTAATTTTTATATTAGATATATTTTACCACAATAAAAATTTTTTAAAAAGAATAGAGTTGATATTAGTTGTGAGGAAAATAGTTTTGTGTTACACACATCTGAAAAAACAAACAAAAAAACAGTCCAGTTTAAAAAAATATTAGCTCAACCACATTAAAAAGATTATAAAGCTATAAAGCAAGGGATGTACGTTTTCATTTCCTTTCCTTAAAAATATGTAATTTAAATGAACATACGGCAGGATAGCATGACGGTTTCTCATTCTGCTTTTCCTAAGCGTGGCATCAATGTAAGTCCATTAAGCAACTATTCTACCAGTAAACCAAATATAACACCACTGAGTTCATTCTGAGACCAATCTGAATGACAAATCCTTATGGAAACTCAGTCTCATTTACAAAGGCTGCCTGTGAATGCAATGCATAGTCAGGGAGATTAGTGGTACATTTGGAAAAGAATACTTACTGCCTTCCCAAGTGCACTGTAACAGATTAAGGGCACCTTCTATGCGCTTCCAGTGCTGAAGATGAAAGAAAGCATAGGCGATTGCTTCACTATCGCCCCGCTTCAGGATGTGCTCTGGAGGTAAAATTAGACTTTTCATCTCTAGTAAATACTAGAAAAACAACATAGACACATCACAAAAAAATTAAATTATGTTAAATGCAAACACCTGCCAAAATGCAGATTCAAATTTTATAAAGTCAATTTTATTTAAAAAACAAACATTAACTTAGTTGAAATGACATGAAGATCCTACCAACAACGTGTGTAAAATGCTTTATATGCAAATTCCAATCATCAGAATATTCTAGGTAAAAATAAGGTGATAAATAGCTTATATGTGACCTTGCTAAATACAAAATGGAAACTTGAGCTGAGAAAATAATTTGAGAGCAAATATTTATTTTTCCAAAAAATAATTAAGTGTAAAAATTATAAAATACAATTTTGGAATAATTCTTTGTGGCTATATTCAATTCTTCTTTTCTTTTATTCCCATTTTACAGGTGAAAGAACTTAATTGTGATATAGTTCAATTAAATTAATATGTACTAAGCAAAAAACTATGTTTATTAAGGAATACCAAAATATGCTCTATTTTTTGGAGCTTCCTAATGTAATGAGACAGATTTCTTAAGTTAATAATTATAACCAGAGTGTGCTGAGTGTTTAGTTAGAGGTATAAACAATTATATAGGAATACGGATAGGAGGTATTAATTTTTTAATTTAGTTTTTTAATAACAGCTTTATTGAGATATAATTCATACACTTTAAAATTCACCGATTTTAGTATGTTCACAGGTATGAGCAATTATCACCACAGTCAATTTTTGACATTTTTATTACCTCAAAAGGAAACCCTGCATTCTTTAGTTATCACCCTCCATTCCTCATAAGCCCTGAGCAACCCTAATCTACTTTCTGTCTCTATAGATTTGCCTATTCTGGTTATTTCATACAAACAGAATCACATAATATATGGTCTTTTGCAACTGGTGTCTTTCACTTAGCACATTTTCGAGGTAAACCATGTCACAGCATAAATCAGTACCTTTTTGTGGCTGAATAGTATTCCATTGTAGATATACCACAATTGTTTGTCTATTCCTCATTTGAGGGTATTGGATTGTTTTCACCTTTTGGCTAATATGAATAATGCTGGAAAAAAACATTCGTGTACCAGTTTTTATGTGAACATGTTTTCATCTCTCTTGGGTATAGACCTAGGAGTGGAACTGCAGGGTCATATGGTAACTCTACATTTAGGAGGTATTAATTCTGATTTAGGAGCTAAAAATAAACCACTTGATGGAATTTGGGATTTGAGCTGATAAAGATGGATGGGTTGTGGATGAGCAGATTGGGGGTTGAGGTTGGGGAAAAGAGCAGGAGGATATATTCAAAGTACAGGGCCACCTTGAACAAAGGCACTGAGCCAAGAGAGCATCGTGCAGGGTGCACTGAAGGGATAGTGAATATGCCTGTTCAAGAAGTTACAGACTATCAATTCTTATTTACGTATGAAATCAAATTCTACCTTAAAACTCCTGAAGAAAGTACTTGCCTTAATATCAAAACCCATAACAAAAGCAGTATAATCACAGTCATTACACTAATCAAATGTACCAAGTACCTGAAGAAAGGCACAAAATTAACCATTTGCACATCATCTTTACTATTAAAGTGGTCAACTTAAAGCAAAATCTTTTAAAAAGCATTTAGTTAGCTAAATACTACCTACAAAGACTTCCCCTACTAAAATAGGTTTGAAACGACCTCTTGGTTCTAAATAACTTCATACCATATTACATATCATAAGATCCAAACCACATTAACTTCTGTTATAAAATATGAAAAGAGACACATTCCAGAGGTGTCTCAAAAGATATATTCTCACATTTCAAATTCTAAATTCCTCAGATTGTTACACAAACTAATGAGATAAACAACATAAATTAAAAAGTTGAATTTGTGAAAAATACTTTGTGAAACTGCTACAAGCAGGAGGAATCTTAAAAACACAAAGGTGTAGTGGTTTCAAAACTTAAACCTTAGGTGATTAATCAACATATCTGTACACATCATATTAATATATCTAAAATAATTTTTCTTATGAAATGTGCCTTTCCAACACTTATTGAGCTTAATGCCCATCTTTAATTACTCCTATACCTTACTTAGTAAAGCTGAAATTAAAAAGAAGTCTTGATGTGTCTGGCTCTCTCCTCAAAGTGTAAGAATGCAATCTGCTCATCAATTTATTTTAGCAGATGTCACAAGCTATGAGATTACTTACTAATCCAGTTTGGGGACTTAACATTTCCCATTCAGTTTCTTAGAGGAATGCAGCAGAGGTTGTGTCCTGGTCAAGCAAAGCCCATTTGCTGCCTGGTTGGGTTTTCTCCCTTTAGTGCCTTGGGCCTATATTCAGGAGGGTAATATTCTTTCTAATCCTCTCTAATCCTTGCCCATTTTTTTAAAACACAGTAAAAGATCACTCGCACCAGGCGGCTGTGGGAAAATGGACTCAAATAGCTGACCCCTGACACGACTCCTTACGCTCCTTGCAAGTGCAAGAAGAGCTTCTTCAGGGGAAAGCAAAGCAAATGCAGCAATCACAGTGACATCTCCATCATAAAAACGGTGTCTCATTTCAAAAGAAAACTGTTTAATGCTTAAACCAACTCCACTCTATTAAAATTCTGCCTTATTTACAGATAGAGGAGACAGAAGAGCCCAAATTATTTTCAATGAGTTTTAGAACCCCCAAGCTCTAAACTAAACCCTATCTTGGTGGCCACTTAGCAAACGGTAAGCAAAAATATTCAGTTAACAATTATTCAGTAAAACTTAAAAATGTCAACTTAATATGTCAAGAAAATACTTTTGTGAACAGCAACTATATTTCTATATTTTCACTGTTTAAATAATCTAAGTGACAGACAATTCAGATAGCAATCAAGCACATATGGCATGCTTATTAGAAAATACTATATTTTATATTTTAAAAATTCTTTGCTAATCATTAAAAAAAAAATCTTCCTTATGCTGCCATATTTTTTATTGCCATGTCTTACCTACCAGCAAATGTCTTTTCCAACTTGACTTTAAAGCAAACCAAATCTTATTTTTCAGTTTCTAATGATGCACTGAAATAAAATTTCACCCTCAAAATATAAGGGAAAATTTCAGTGTAAGGAAAATGTATTTAAAGTAGGTAATTATAGGATTATTACTTTTTAAAATCTTCTTCACAAAGTGCTTACTCGGGAATGTCTGCTGCCCAGCATAAGCTGCAAGTTACCACACAATAGAAACCATGTCCTTTATATTCTACTACAGCGCCTTGCACATGTACAACCCAAAGCAGGCACTAAAATACTATTTAACTGACTTGATCTGATTCATACAGCTAAGATGTCTTCAAGCTCATATTTCAGTTTTTACTTAAAGATGTTTTGTAACTCTCTGGGCAAACTAAAAACAAAACAAAACAAAAATTCTGCTATCCAGAGTTAACTTTTCTATGAAGAAGAATATGAAAGCTTAAAAACTAAGGGGTGGTTCGTTTTGTTTTGTTTTGGTCTTTTTTCATGCTTACAAAAGTATATGCTCAGCGTACAAAAAATGCAAACATTACAGAGTAACATAGTAGAAAATGATATATCACAAGATTGGAAAATAAAATAATCTGACTTATGTTTGTCTGGATTTCTTTATGCATAACATATTGACTCCATTTTTCTTAAAATAGGATCAAACTGTTATGCAACTCACTTTTTACTTCACAATACATCTTATACATTTCTTCCTGTCTATATAGCTCTAACTCATTATTTTTAATTGTTGTACAGTATTCCATTAAAAGCTGAGTTATTTTATAAGTTGAGAAATAAGGTCATGTGGAATTGTACTACCATCCTTAAAAGGTCAAAAATTATATAATTAAGCAAAACTCATAAAAATAGTAAAGTAGGGGCCGGCCGAGTGGCGCATTGGTTAAGAACTGGCTTGGGACGCCAGAGGGCCCCGGTTCGGATCCCACATATGAGGGCCAGTGACACTGCCCTCTACAGCTAAGATGCTGAACAACAGCTCAACCTGGAGCTGGGTTGCCGTGAGTCTCCGGAGACGGCGTAGGCTGCAGCCCCTGTGGCAGTGGGTTGACATGGGCTACCGTGTGTAGCCAGCAGCCAGCGTGAGCGGCCAGCCGCCGCAGTGAGCGGCCGTCCAGAAGCCGGCGACTGATCTGCCTCGCCCGGGAAGAACGCAATGATGGTGCCAACTTGGGCCAATGAAGCAACATCCTCCACAACTAGACTGAAGAACAAAACCACAGCAACTTGTCTGTTCCCCTTCCCCCAATTCCCCAGCACTGTTCCCATCCCCCAACTCCCCAATTAAAAAAAAAAAAGTAAAGTAAAAACATATATAAAATATATTAAAAATAGTAAAGTAAAAGAGTAAAAACTCACAAAATAAGTAAAATGGCTTAAACATTCCCCAAAATGATGGGGTCTAAAATTTACCTTTTGTAACTTAGTGAGGCCTTTATAACAATGAAGATCTAAACTTAAGATATCTATTTGTCCACCATTTGTTGAATGCCTGTTATGTGCTAGGCAGAGTATCAGACATAAAATGATGAGTAAGACAAGAGTTCTGCTTTTTAAAAGCTCACAAGGAACTAAGGGAGAGACATACAAATAGACCAAAAAGAAAAGAAAAAAAAAAAAGATATGATTAAGGTACTGAAGGAACAAAGAAGAGAGCCATTATCTCCACTCAGAAAAAGTGGGAAAGACACCTCTATAAAGAAGGAAAAAGATGAGCAGTGTCTTGAAGAATGAGCAGAAACTTGCCTGGTAGAGAAGAGTTAGAGCACATGTACAAAGGTAGGGAGATACGATGAGACATGACCAGCCCAGGAAGCAGTGATGCTGGAGATAAGGAGCAAGGCAGAAGTGGCAAGGAGTAAGGCTGGCAACAGATCCTGGGCCCAGGCTGGGAAGGGCCTCCATACGTGCACTACTAAGGGATTGGTCCTTATCTTAGGCGATAGGTGATAGGGAGTAAGCAGAGCTCTTAAAGTAGAGCAAGATGTACTATT